AAAGAGTTGATATGGAAATTCATGAACACATGGAAATTAAAAACAGCCTACTCCAGAATGACTTTATAACTAGAGAAGAAATTAAGACCAAAATCAAAAGATTCATAGAAACCAATGATAACAAACAAACAAGTGTTTATAATCTATGGGACACAGCAAAGATGGAAGTTCATAGCAATTAGTGCCCACAAAAAAAGGGGGGGGAAATAAAAGCAGAAAGGTGGCAAATAAACAACCAAACAACACAACTTAGGGAACTGGAAAGACAGCAACAAAAAATACCCCCACAAAAACACTCCAGGAGAAAAGAAATAATAAAGATTTGAGCAGAAATGGATGAAATAGAGAGTACAAGAACTATACAGAAAGTAAATGAAACCATAGCGGGTTCTTTGAGAAGATAAACAAAATGGACACATCGTTAGCTACATTAATCAAGAAAAAAAGAGAAAGGAACCAGATAAATCAAATCAAAAAGGAAATAGGCGTTATTACAGTGGATATAACAGAAATACAAAGTATCAACGGAGAATACTATGAGTGACTATATGCTAACAAACAAAAAAGCCTAGATGAGATGGAAACTTTCTGGATATGTATAATTTACCAAGATTGAACCAGGAAGAAATAGAAAGTCTGAATAGGCTCCTAACAAGCAATGTGATTGAATCAGTAATAAATAGTTTCCCAACAAGGAAGGGCTCAGGTCCCGATGGCCTTACTTCTGAATTCTACAAGACCCTTGAATTCTCCTTAAACTATTTCTAAAAATTCAGAAGGAAGGAACCTTCCCGAATTCAGTCTACGAAGCCTCCATCATCTTGATTCCAAAATCAGACAAACACATGACCTAAAAGAAAACTTCAGGCTTATACCCTTGATGAATACGGATACAAAAATTCTCAGCAAGATACCAGCAGTTCGTATTCAACACATATCAAAAAGATTATATGTCATGACCAAGTAGGCTTTATTCCATAGATGCAAGGATGGTTCAACATAGGCAAAACAATAATTATAATACATCACATTAACAAAAGGAAATATGAAAACTTTGTGATCATATCAATTGATGTAGAATAAGCATTCAGTAAAATATGACACCCCTTGATGCTTAAGAATTTCACAAAATTGGCATAGAAAGGCCATTCCTCAACACAATAAAAGCCATCTATGAAAAATCCCATAGCTAACATCACACTGAATGGGGAAAGACTGAAGGGTTTTCCAATAAAAACAGTAACAAGACAAGGCTGACCACTTTCTCCACTCCTTTTTAAAAATTTTGTATTTCCTGTTCTTTTACACATTCGATGATGTTATTTAGATTACAAAGTGAATATTCCAACATGTGTACATTTCTCCATAGTCCAGTTCATAATACTGTAAAATTATCTTGAACAGATAATACCACATTTCTTTGTCCTATTAATGCTTTTCCTCTCTATTTTTCTTCTAAATGTCCTTCCTCAGACTCTACTCTTTCACAAACACTATATCTGATATTCACAACCATTTACTGCGTTTCTATATCCTTTAGTCAATCGGTTTCAGTCATAGAATGCAGACACTTGGTATATATTAAGTGGGGACATACAGTGATTCTCCTTCATAGCCTGGCTTGCTTCATTCACTCAGCAGTAAATCTTCCATATTCATCCACTTTCTGTCAAAAGCCAGGGTCTTGTTTATTATGGCTGAATAGTATTCCATAGAGTATATGTGCCACAGCTTTTTAATCCATTCATCTGTTCGTGGACATTTGGTTGAATCCATGTCTTAGCAATTGTGAATAGTGCTGCAATAAACATCGATGTGCAAGCACTTTTCTGATTAAGAATTCTTCTGTCCTTTGGGTAGATACCAAGGAGTGGGATTGCTGGATTGAACAATTTGGACATTCCTCAAATATCTGTACTCCTTTTTAACATAGTACTGGATGTTTTAGCCAACACAATTCAACTAGAGAGTCAAATAAAAGGCATCCAAATAGCAAACAATAAAGTAGTAAAATTATCTCTGTTTGCAGATGATATGATGCTATACATAGAAAATCCTACTGGAAGTGATAAATGAATAAAGTGGCAGGACACAAAATCAACATACAAAAATCTATAGCATTGTCATACATCAAACAATGGACAAACTGAGATGAATCAAAGAAAGAAATTCCATTTACAATAGCCACAAAATCAATAAGATATCTAAGAATAAACCTTACCAAAGATGTCAAAAGTCTCTACAAGGAAAACTATGAAACCCTAGAAAAAGAAATGAAAAATGATACAAAAAAGTGGGGAAACATCCTATGTTCTTGGATCGGAAGGATTAATGTTATCAGGATGTCAATCCTACTTAAATTAATCTACAAATTGAATGCAATCCCAATCAAACTACAAGAGATATTTCTCACAGAAATAGGGGAAACAATCACAAAATTTGTCTGGATGCATAAAAGGCCCCGTGTTGCCAAAGCAATATTGTGTAAAGGGAATAAAGTAGGAGGCATCTCAATTCTGTGATAATTACAACAGTATGGTATTGGCAAAAGAAACAGGCAGGAAGACCAATGGAACAGAATTGAGAACCCCCAAATAAACCCCCAAACACACAGCCAACTGATTCTTTCAAAGGGCACAAGACAATCCAGTGGGAAAAAGAAAATCTCTTCAGCAAATGGTGCTGGCAGAATTGAAAATTCATCTGCAGAAGAATGAGACTGGATTCTTACCGCTCACCACTAACAAAAATTAACTCAAAATGGATTGAAGATCTAAACACTAAACCTCAAACTATAAAAATACTGTTGGAAAACACAGGAAAAACTCTTGGAGAGCTTGGAGTAGGCAAAGACTTCTTAAACCAGATCTCCAAAGCACAGAAAATATTCCCCAAAATAGACAAGTGGGACTATATTAGGCTGAGAAGCTTCTGCATGGCAAAAGAAGCAAGAAGGAGAAGGAGAAGACAACCCTGAGTGGGAGAATATATTTGCAAACTATACCTCAGATAAAGGACTGATAACCAGCATATACAGGGAACTCAAGCAGCTTATGCACGCGTGCACACGCACACACACACACACACACACACACACACACACAATCAATCCAATTAAAGGATGGAAAAATGAACTGAACAGACAATTGTCCGAAGGAAACACACGAACATCCTGAAAGCACATAAAAACATGCTCAACATTTCTTATCATAAGGGAAGTTTAAATCAAAACCACAATGAGATACCACTTAACCCCAGTCAGAATGGCTAAAATTAAAAAAATAAAAAATGATAAGTGACAGCGGTGCTGTGGTGAAAAGGGAACACTCCTATACTGTGGGTGGGAGTGCAAATTAGTACAACTACTTTGGAGAACAGATTTGGAGATTCCTCAGAAACCTACAAATGGAACTACCGTATAACCCAGTAATTCCACTCTTAGGTATTTACCCAAAGATAGAAAAACCCTCAGTTGTAAAAACACTTGCACAACTATATTTATTGCAGCATCATTATTTTTTTTAATTTAACTTTACTTATTTTAATTTGACCAGACAGGGACAGAACGGGGGGTGGGGTGGAGAGAGAGAGAGAGAGAGAGAGAGAGAGGAGAGAGAGAGAGAGAGAGAGAGAAAGTGAGAAAGCAAGCTGCCAGGCCCAAGGCTCAAAACATGGTCAGCCATATGGGAGTCCAGGGCCCTTAATCACCAGACCACCTGCCGGCCCCTATTGTAGCATTATTTACAATTGCTAGGACATGGAATCAATCCAAATGTCCAAAAGTAGATGATTGGCTTGAAAATATGTGGTATATGTACTCTATGGTATACTACTCAGCCATTAAAAAAACGATGAGACCCTGATATTTGATACAAAATGTACCAATATGGAAGACTTAATGCTAAGCGAAGCAAGCTAGACTATGAAAGACAGACTTTGTATGTCCCCACTCAACATATACAGATTGTCTATACTCTATAGCAGAAACAGAAAGTTTGGAAGGTATAGAAGCAGAGAGGGTAATGATAAATACTAGAGAAAGTAAGGATAGAGGTAATGCAGGGGTGAGTAATGGGGGCAGGGGAACAGGAGAAGAAAGAGAAATACATTTAATTCACAAAATAATTGAAAAGCTGTTTGCTGATGATAAAGTACATGGTAATGTCTTTATCTTAAAGGATATGCATGGTATTCATGCTGGAAAAAGCAATGTTGTACACTGTAGAGATACATGTGATTAAATGTAAATTAAAATAAAAATAAGTAATATGGACCACGTATGAGAGAGAGAGAGGGAAAAGAAGCACATGATTTATTTTTCTCCATCGGCCTCGGAGATTCTCGCTGTTGGAAATTCTTACAGAGCCTCCTCCTTCTTGTTAGGTGAAACAAAGAGGCTTCAACCTCCTACCCAATCCCTGTCACGGACTTCTGGTGATATTTTGTAGCAGCACATATCAAGGTCACCTCAGGAAGGCAAAGAACCTTCCATATGAAAAGAAACAGTCCTAGTTGGAGACAAGGTCATCTGCTAGAAGCCATCTGCCTTGTGGTAGGCTCATGGGGAGTTCTTCATAAGATTAGGGGTCAAAGACCTTTTCTTAGACCTTTTCTTAGGATTAATCCTCCAAGTGTCCCGCCCACAATCTGCTCTATAAACCCTGCCCAATTTTTCTCAGCTATGAAGGCTGTGTCCCTTGCTAGAGGGAAGAGAGATGTTATTTTCTTTTCATTCTTGCGTGCAAATTCCCCAGCAGCGTCAGAGCTGTCAGATGTGGAAAACTCACTGTGAACTGGTCGCCATCCACTCCAACCAGGTATGAGGAATAAGCAGCACTGCCTCAAGGAGGGTGGATGGCCTTCCAGGGCTAAGGGTCATGCTAATTAGCTCCATCCCTCCATAGCCCACCACCAGCAAAGCTGTCGAGTCTCAAGTCACCTGAGGGCGGCGTCAGTGTTGAAAGCTACATTAAGTATGAGGAAGCAGAAACAGTCAAGCGTGCCAGCATTTATTTGAGGCCCAGTGGCCGATACAGTGGGGAAGAGCAGGGGCATGGGGCAGCAGATGGGTCTTGAAGACCGTTCACAGGTCTGTGTCTTTGGCTCCCCGGGTTTCAGTTTCTCAGTGTCCAGTATCTTCCCCTAGAAAGGAAAGCAGAGTGATAAGTGACCCCCTGGGAGCCCTTGGGAATTCAGGCCTGGCCTGGGGTTCTCTTGATGGAACAGGAAGGGGAGGCAGGGGAGCTTGGCTGTGAGTAGTGAGAGAAGCAGAAGCCGGCTCCAAGCCCTCACCTGAAGGTTTTGGTGAGACATGCCAAGGCTCTTTGGAACTGGGCCCACCAAGACCCTCCCAGAAGAGCAGGCTCCCAGGATGAGACTGTGCCATCAGATGTGCTCTCTTTCATGCCAGACCAGACGTCACATTCCTTGGGGTCTTTTTGCAGACCTTTCATGTACTGCAAAACAGAATAAATAAATAGCCTCGTACTGACGGGACCCGGCTCCTGTTACGTCATTTCGCAATGACCAGGTGCATTCCGTACCCTGTTCTAGGTGCTAGAGATACAGCAGTGAGCTGCAGAGCCCCAACCCCTAGGACCGTAAGGGACAGTCCATGACAATAGAGGGAAATCATTCTCACCATTTCAGCAGGTGGAAGGAAGGGAGTGAAGATCATGCTTACAGGAGATTGTGATGTGCTGGTAGTGACCAACAGGACTTCCCTGGAGAGACCAGCTAAGCTCCTCACTCTGCTGGGTGCAAGGAGGTTGAAGGTCTGCCCCCTCCATGCCCTTTTGCCCCTTCTACCCCACCCCATCGTTCCTCCCTCCGACAGCCCAGTGCACTCTGTTCCAGCAGTGGATACATTCCTGGTATGTGACGTTCCCTCTGTCCCTGTGTCTCTTATTCCCACCCCTCCGATCCTTTCCTCGTTTCTTCTCTTCTTTCTCCTGATCCTCCCAGAAAGCTCAAGCTAAGTTTCTTCTTGCTGAAGAGAAAAAGCAGAATTATTCAGGAAGTCGGTAAGTTGTCATTTGACGGGGATGCCACATGCAGGAATTTTTATTTGGGCTCTCCCCTCTATTTACTTCAAAGGATTATGTCCACCCAGGCCCTGGGAAGGTGTGGTTTCAGATGGGTAGTTTTCATATAGAGAATGAGCTGGATGTTGGCATCTAGTGTTCAGACCCACAGTAGACCTTATCTGAGAGAAAAGGGTTATGTGAGATGCCGCGTGTACGTGACTGTCAGCCTCAGGTGGGTGGTAGACAGGTGATTTGAGACCTGAAGGACTTGAAAACTCTGAAGGGCAGTGGGAAAGGGCCTGGACTGTGTAAGTTGAAAGCAGAATAGCAGAGGTGAGAGCCTCTTGTTGACTAGTCCCTCTGTATCAATGTCCATCTTTGGATTTCAAAAGCAGTACTTCCCAGTCATGCCCTCTGTTTACCAACTATTGGGTCATCTGAAAGGTCATGATGTAGCTTTGCTTTAGAAAAACAGAAAAACCCTTCATGACTGTTCTGATGACTCAGTACATCTGTCGGGTCTGCGTCACTGACTTTAAGAAAGCACCTTGCAAACAGCATCCT